CCTGCATCTCCCCCCCCGCCTTTCCCGGCTCTGGATCCTCCTCCTCAGCTCTTGTCCCCCTTCACACCCCCATTCCCAGCTCCTGAGCCCCCGGCCCCCCTCCCATCTCCTGCATCCCTTCCTTCCCCATCTCCCACATCCGCCCCCTTCCCTGTTTCCTGCCCCCCTTTCCCATCTCCTCCGTCCTCTCCTTCCCGACCTCTTCTCCCTTTTTTCCCAACTCCTGCCCCTCACTGTGGGTCAGAGTCTTCCTTATCCCTGCCAGAGCACGGGGAGGGGGCACACGGAGCGCTCCCATCCCGATCCAAGCCCGGGTTCCCTGGATCAGCCCCTCCTGGCCATCCCTGGCCACAGCGCTGTGACGGGCGCGCTCGGCCTCTGCGGCTCCTGTCCCCTCCCCGCGCTCCTCATCCCGGCCTTATCCCGGGGGGAATCATCTCCCGGCATCCCCGGGTTCGCCCTGGCACGGATGGGCTCTCCCGAAATCCCAGGGAACCCCAGCACTCCAATACTGCGGCCGGCGTTATCCCAGAAAATGGCAGAGCGTCCTTTTCCCTGGCCTGCTGTTCCTGGGGGTGTGCCTGGAAACGGGCTGGTTTGGCCACCTCAGTCCTGCTTTTCTTCCGGTTTTTTTTTTTTTAAGGAAAGAACATTCCCGGAGCGATGCTCTGTGCAGGCCGGGAGGGTTTTATCCATCAGCCCGGAAAAATCGGCTGCGGCCGCCCGAAAATCCACAAGTTTTAAATAGAAATTTCTCTCTGGCCGCCGGCAGATTAATCAGTCAGGGCCTGCTCCAGGAGCGTAATCCGGGTGGCAAATTCCTGAAAATCCTTGGAGGGGACAGGCAGAGATTTCGAGAGAGGAATTTTTAATTTTCAGGGCTAAAAGCAGATGGAGGGAAAAAAAAGAGGAAGGAAAGGTGGGGGGGGTGGGGGTGACTCGGCTCTTGGCACCTTCCCTGCAAACGATGGGATGTCCAGGATTCCCAGTGTCGGCCAAATGCCTTCTTCCCACCTGGGCTCTTCCTGGAATTGCTCCATCACCTTGCACAAGAGCTGTTATCCCTTTATTTCTAATTTTTTGGGATTAAAAGGCTGGGACCTGCCCTGTTCCAGGGGCCTCTCCGAGTGTAGCATTCCTTGGTGCTGCCTCTGTTGGCTTTGGCTCGTGCCAGAGGTGCCTTCCAAGGGCAAGGAGGGATCCAAAAATTCCTCCTGTGCTTCCAAACCAACCGTGCTCGGCTGCCAGAGGGAGAGAGCGAAGGGAGAAAAGTGCCAGAATTCCCAGGGGATGGGAAAGAAAGTGGAATAATCCCTGTTGTGAGGTGGATTTAAGAGCAGTGTGGTTGTGGCACTTGGGGACATGGATTTTGGGGAAATGTTGGATTCATGGCCTTGAGGGATTTTCCAGCCTTAAGGATTCTGGGATTCTTTTTTTTTCTGTGGGAGCAGAGCTTGATCCCACCTGGCTCCTGTCAAGGAGTTCTGGAGAGCAAGGAGATTCCCCCAGAGTCTCTTTATTTCCAGGGTTTCCATGAAAAATCTGCATTTCCTTACCAAAAGTCTGACCTTTGCATCTCGGAATTCCGGGAGAGCCTCCAAATCCAGCATTCCCCTTTCAGTGTTTTCCCATGGGGAGTGGGATCAGCCTCACAGAACCCAGAGAGGCCAAGATTCCCAATTCCCAATCCCAATTTTGGCTCTGGAGCCGTTCCCTCCCCGCCTGGCCTCAGGAGCATTCCTGCTGCATTCCAGGGGCAACACCCGGGTGGAGGAGGCCTGTGAGATGTACACCAGGGCTGCCAACATGTTCAAGATCGCCAAAAACTGGAGTGGTGAGTCCCAAATCCTGGCATCTGGGGGGGCCTGGGTGATCCCAGAGCGCCCAAACGTCTTCCTGTGAATTATTCCATGGGGAACCGTCTCTGTGTCCATGCAATTCCTATGTAAATACTGGGAGAGTGTACAGAGGGAGGCAATTCCTGTTTAAATACTGGGAGAGTGGACAAAGGGAGTGAACTGAAGGATCTTGGAGGAATTTTTAGATGCCAGCTGATGATCCTGCTTGGGAAGCCCTCATCCCTGAGTCTCCCTAGGTTCTGGAAGAGGCGCATTCCCGCTCTCTCACGGGATTCATGGGATTGCTATTCCCTCTTTTCCAGCGGCAGGAAATGCCTTTTGCCAGGCAGCCAAGCTGCACATGCAGCTGCAGAGCAAGCACGACTCGGCCACCAGCTTTGTGGATGCTGGGAATGCCTACAAAAAAGCAGATCCGCAAGGTAAGGCAGCGGAATGCGGCACTGGAATGTGGGATTGCTCCCAGCCAAAGGCTCGCTGCTGGCACAGCTGCATTCCTGCTTTTCCACAAGGTGCTTTGGGATGATGCAGGAGGTCAGCGCTGTCCTGGCGTCTCCTCTTGGTGTTTGTTGGGATTTGGGATGCTGCAGGGTGTCGGGACTTTTGGCAGCTTCCATCCTGGTTTGGCTTGGCTTTGGGGAATGGCTTCAGGCAGTCACTGGGCTGGATCGCGGGAGGATCCCTGCCGTGTTTTCCCGAGGCTTTCCCCAGTCCTGGCCTTTGTTGGGATGAGAATAAAGGATCTGGGATTCTTTCAAGCGGGCTGTGATTTTTGGGAAGGTCTCCAATCCATTTTTCCCTAGCCAGGTCTGGAAGCAAACCCCCCACCTCCCACCAGCATTATCCCAGGAGACAGGGGAACACACTCAGGGTGGATGACAAACTCCCAAATTCCCTGGAAAACAGCAGTGTTTTGGGGTTGATCCCTAGAAGTTTGCTCCATTGGGGGACGCAGACAGCAAACTCGGGGTTGGGTCATCCTGGTGTTTGTTCCTTTGGGAATTGCTGGGGGTGCCGGGGCTGAGGCCATTCCAGAGCCCGCTCTGTGGGCCGGTATTCCCTGGATGAGCCGCCGGGCGGGTTTGGGAGCGGGAGTGGCTGACGCTGTTGTCTCTCACACACGCTGCAGAGGCCATCAACTGCTTAAACGCAGCCATCGATATCTACACGGACATGGTAAGGCCCCGCTCCCGGGAACGCCGCGCGGCCTCCCGGGAACGCCGCGCCTCATCCCGCTCCCCTCCCGTCCCCAGGGCCGCTTCACCATCGCCGCCAAGCACCACATCACCATCGCCGAGATCTACGAGGCCGAGCTGGTGGACATCGAGAAGGTGAGGGGACACCTTGGTGATGTCATCAGTGACGTCATCGGAGGCCCTGGCGCGGCTTTCCCAGAAAACCCGTGGTTGTCACATCCCGGGAAGTGTCCAAGGCCAAGCTGGAGCAGGCTGGGGTGGTGGAAGTTGTTCTCCCCAGTGGAAGGGGATCACAGTTGAGGTCACTTCCAGCCCAAACCATTCTGGGATTTCCTTGCCCTGAGCTCAAGAATTCCCTTCTCCCATCCAGCACCGGAATTCCTGGTGTAGGTGCAATCCAGCCATGAGCTGGAGTTAATGGTTTTTCCAGCCTGGAGGCTTTCATGGAGCAATCCCAAGACTCTGGTGTGTCCCTGTGCCAGCAGCGCTGGCTGAACACTCCAGTGAGAATCCACCTCGGTGTTCCCCACTGGAAAAGCTCTTTGGGAATGTCATGGAGCCATTTTAGTCACTTTTAGTTCCCACTTCCAAACTCCCTGAGCAGGAATCCCACTGCAGATCTCCTGCAGGATAAAACTGGATGGGATTTCAGGGTTATTTTCCAGGCAAGGATTTCCTTCCTCAGCTCCAGTCCATTGGATCCCACCTCCCTCCCTGAATGTTGGTGCTGTTCCCTGGGGTGCTGTATCCCGGGATGGCTGATCCCACATTTCTGTCCCCAGGCCATCGCACACTATGAGCAGGCTGCGGATTACTACAAGGGAGAGGAATCCAACAGGCAAGTCCTTGGGATCAGTGGGAAGGGTTGGAACAGGGATCCATCCCTGGAACAGGGATCCATCCCAAACACTCCCACAACCAGCACCCTAATTTGGGCTGTTGCAAGAGAATTCCTCTAAATCCCAGCTGGGGGTTCCCACTTCTCTCTCTGGGAAGGGGTGCTGGGGCATGGGCTGGTGAATTCCCGGGATTCAGGGCCTGATTTTTGGGATGTGGTTGCAGCTCAGCCAACAAGTGTCTGCTGAAGGTGGCGGCCTACGCGGCGCAACTGGAGCAGTACCAGAAAGCCATCGAGATCTACGAGCAGGTCAGGAGCCACATCCCATGGGAATAGCACCTCTTCCCAAGGAACAGGGCCCAGAGCTTGGCAGAACTGCCAGAATCAGGGAATTGTTTAGGCTGGAAGGGTTCTCTGAGGTTCCCACTGTTCCCCCCGCATGGCCAAGTGTCCCCAAGTGCCACATCCATGATTTTCATCTTTCCAGGAAAAGGTTGGGAGAAATCCATAAAAATTCCCCTTATAAAAATTCCCCTTTGAATGTATTTACAACTCCCTTTGGCAGAAAATTCCCTCCTGGATTTATCAGCTCTGCCTTTTGTCAGACATTTACCTGCAAATACCAACAGTGCTGCTTGGTGCTTCCAGAGGGTTAATCCTGGAGCAGCTTCTTCCCAAATGAATTTGTTTTTCCATTTCCTCATCAACCAAGGATCTGACTTCCCTTGGGATGAGTTCAAAACCTCCCTGCTTCCCAACACCTTTTTGGCATTTTTTCCATGCCTTTTCTTCCCAGCCCTGTGGCTCAGGGTGGAATATGAGCTGGTTTAATCCAGGCTTTCCTTTCCTGCCCCTTTTTTCCATGGTTTTTTTTTTTTTTTTTTTGGTCCAGGTGGGAACAAACACGATGGATAACCCTTTGCTCAAGTACAGCGCCAAAGAATATTTCTTCAAAGCTGCCCTGTGCCACTTCATCGTGGATGAGCTGAATGCCAAGGTCAGTTATCCCAGAATTCCCAATCCCTCCTCACCTGCCTCAGCCAGCTGGGAGAAGCTCAGTGGGCTCACAGCTATTATCCCAAAATCCCTGATCCCTCCTCAGCAGTGGCTGGAATTCCTGATGTGCCACTGTCACGTTGGATTCTTAGTGGATATTTTCCTAAGTTTGAGGATGGGAAAACAAATCCTGTGGAAAAAATAGGCATGGTGTGCAAAGGGATCTCTTCTCTCTTCCAGCTTGCGCTGGAGAAATACGAAGAAATGTTCCCGGCTTTCACAGATTCCCGGGAATGCAAGCTATTGAAAGTGAGTGACCAGGGGGTTTTCCCACTTTTCCAGGGGTTTTCTCCTTTATCCCAGCATTTTAGAGGACATCAGCCTCGCTTTTCCCTGGGTTTGGCCCAGACCCCTGTTTGTGGTGGGTGCTTTGTTTGATGGGTCTCTGTTCCCTGGGATGAGATGCCGGAGTGGGATCATGCAGGAATAGAGCATTCCCTAATTTTTCCTGGTGTTTTCCCAGAAACTGCTGGAAGCTCATGAGGAGCAGAACAGTGAGGCCTACACCGAGGCTGTGAGTACTCATGGGTGCACTTGGGAATGCTGGGAATTCTGCTTCTTCCTGCTCTTTTTTGGGATCCCCGTGCCCTGCAGAGAGTGGCCGGGGACAGCTGCTCCAGCAAGGTCCCAGCTTCCTCCTGTAACTTTCCTGGGTTTTCATGGAGAGTTCAGATCCTGCCTGGGTTGGCTGCAGCTCCTTTGGTGTTTGACAGGAGCCTAAAGAGCTTGAGTTGGGTTTGGAGAGACTTTTCTCTGGACTGTGGCCCTGTGCCTTTTCCCTTTTTTCCTTGTTGTTTTTTTTTCCTCCATTCCCTTTTTTTTCCTCAGCTTTCCTTTGTTTCCCCCCCACTTCTCCTTTTTTTTGCCCTTCCTCCTTTTCAGCCCCTTCCCTTTTTCCCTCTCCCCTCTTTCCTTCCCTTCCTCCTTTCTACTGCCCTTTTCCCTTTCCCTTTCCTTTCCTTTCCTTTCCTTTCCTTTCCTTTCCTTTCCTTTCCTTTCCTTTCCTTTCCTTTCCTTTCCTTTCCTTTCCTTTCCTTTCCTTTCCTNCTTTCCTTTCCTTTCCTTTCCTTTCCTTTCCTTTCCTTTCCTTTCCTTTCCTTTCCTTTCCTTTCCTTTCCTTTCCTTTCCTTTCCCTTTTTCCCCTTCCTGTTTTTCCTTTCCCTTGTTTTTTCCCCACTTTCCCCTTGTATTTTTCCCCTTTCTCCCCCTTGTTTTCCCCACTTTTCCCCTTGGTTCTTTCCCTTTCTCCTCTTCCCCTTTATCCTCTCTTCCCCTTTTCCACCCTTCCCTTTTCTTCCCCCTTTCCCTTTGTTTTGCTTTTGCCCTTGTTTTACCTTTGCCTTTGCTTCCCCTTTGCCTTTGTTTCCCCTTTTTTCCCTTTTCCCTTATTTTCCCTTCCCTTTCCCCTTGTTTCTCCCCCCCTTTCCCTTTATTGTTCTTTGCATTCCCCTCCTCCCTTTTCTGTCCTTTTCCCCCTCCCCTTTATTCCCAGGACGAGCCACTTGTCTATTCCCATCTCTGCCACTCCCCTGTCCCATCCCTGCCGCATTCCCGCCTCTTTCCCTTTCCCTCCCGCTCCCTGATCCACGATTTTTGCCGGTGCCAGGTGAAGGAATTCGACTCCATCTCGCGGCTGGATCAGTGGCTCACCACGATGCTGCTGCGCATCAAGAAAACCATCCAGGGCGAGGGCGACGGCGACCTCAAGTGACGCCCGCGGGCCCTTCCCGCCTCCAGCCGAGGACTTTTCGGGAATTCCAGACCCAATCCCGCGCTTTCTTTGGTCGCTTCCCACTCCCATGGCTCACTGTGTTTCTTTAGCCCCCGCTCTGTGGTGACGCTCCGGGCGGATGCCAGGCAGGAGAAGCCCTTGGAGCGGAATTCCTCCTTCTCCTCCTCGGGTTTGGTCCCGCCCATCCCGGTGCCTGCACTCGCAGCTCCCGGTTTTCCTGCTGTTCCGTTGACTCCAGCATGTAAATATTCCATCACGGCCAGCACAGTACCAATTAGCGCTTCCAGCCCGTTGTGTTCCCATTTTCCCGTTCTCAAGTGTTGGATACACTTGGATTTGGGGGTCTGGAAGTGGTGCTAGGCAGAGGCTTTGGGAATTGGGAATATCCTGCACACCCCCACCACGCCATAGGCATTCCAGGAACATAGGATCGTTGTTGGCCCTAGGTCCTGGTTGGTTTCCATCTTTCTTGGATTGATTTCCCACTTTAGTTCGTGGTGCATCCCATCCCTCCACTTCCAAATATTCCACCTGAGGAAGGATCTGTTTTTGTACCTCACCCTCTGCGTGTGCCGGGCACAATCCCTAAATTCCACAGGTGTGGATCCCACAGGAGCCTTGCTGGAATTCAGGTGGCAGGGGGACACAGTTTGCTTGGGAAAAGTTGAAAAATTCCTGCAGGAATTGATGGGTGTGTGGTTAAGGAGAGAGGATTGAGCTGCCTGGTTTTCCCAGGAAGCGTCGGAGGCGTCGGGAGCTTGTGCAATTTGTCGCTCTTTGGGAAGAGTGAAGTCAGGAATTTAGGGCTGTTCTGGAGGCTCCAGGCAGCCCCAGCCCCTCTTTCCTCTGGAAGAAGTCAGGTTGGAATGTTGGGCTTTGGATAGAGCTTGGCTCATTGGGCTCTAAAGTTCTGAAAACCAAAAATCCCAATCCATGCAAATTTCTCCTTGGTTTGGTGTTTTCCCACCCTTCCCGATCTGTTTCCCACAGGTCCTTGTGTTCATCCCAAACATCCCAACCAGATGGAAAAGTTGGGAGGCAGTGGGGGGGATCTCCCAGCTCCAGGCTTGGAAGCACATGGAGTTCATCCATTCCCACCCTCAGGAATGGCTTTTTCAGGCGTCCAGCACTGGGAGCCGGGATGAGGGGAAGCACAGCTTGGGAAGCTCCACTTTTCCCGGTGTTTTTTCGGTTCTGTTGCCATTCCCCGTGTTGGTGTTGTAGGACAGGAGGAGCAGGAGGGCTGTTACTCCATCCCTACACCTGGTAGTTGTGTGTGAGTAGCTCCAGCATGTCCTCTGCTGTATCCATGGTGAATTGTGACGGTTCCCAGGTGACAATTCCACCACTCCCGCTGTATTCCCGCCCCACCTCCATCACTCTCTACTTGGAAAACTTATTTAAGGAAATGGCCTTAGCAAGAATATCATGTTTGGTGTGACTCTGTACATGAATAAAGTGAAAATCATGGATGGAAGGAGGGAGAAGTGGTTCTTCTGGAAAACTCAAAAGGCTGGAGCATGGTGGGATGATGGAGGCTGGGAGGGGGTGTGATGCCTCAGTTCCTGGTTGGAATCAGGGAATGGTGTGGGTGGGAAGGGACCTTAAAACTCATCCTGCTCCAGGGACACCTGCCACTATCCTGGCTTGCTCCAAACCCTGTGAACACTTCCGGGCATGGGGCGGCCACAGATTCTCTGGGAAAACTCTTCCAGGGCCTCCTCACCCTCACAGGGAAGAATTCCTTCCCAATAACCCACCCAAATTCCCCTCTGTCACTGGGAAGCCATTCCCTCCCTCTTGTCCTGTCACTGTAATTCCTGATGAAGAATCCCTCACGCTTTTCCTTGCAGGCCCCTTCTGAGGTTTCCAGGGAACCTTCTCTTCTCCAGGTGAGTTTTCCAAGCCTGTCAATATCCCAAAGTGTCCCACTTGGATACGACTGAGTCACTGGGAGGTCTCCATATTCCATATTTTATTAGGAACAGCTCAAACAAGTAACTCACTTACAAAACATTCCCCGGCTCCAGATCCCAGTGCTCAGCCCTTAAATATATCTACAACCCCTTTCCTTCCATTGGGAATAACTGAGCTCCAGCAGGAATAAATATCTCAAATATAACCTCTTGGAAATGTCCTCTGGTACAAAAATTCCCTTTTTTCTATCTTAGAGTTCCATGAGAAAGCCTCTGCCATCCCTTTATCCCAAAAAATAGCTCTGTGCCACAGGTGGGGGGTCTTTATTGCTGGATCTCACCAGGCTGGATTGTGCTTACCTTTCCCAAAGTTCTGCTCACAGCTTCGGCTGAGGAATTGCTGTGGGAATACTACAGGAACAGGCAAAAAAATGGGAAAAAGAATGGGACAAGTGGGTTTTTACACTGGGAAGCCCATCCCAAGGTTTGAGGCATTAAACCATAGCACACTGAGCTGCTGTTGTGAAAAACCAGGAGTCAGCCCAGCTGGAACAACATTCCAAGGCTCCTTCCCTGCCCAGGGGAAATCCCTCAAATCCTATTCCACTAAAAATGGAGCAGGAAAAGCCTCTGAACTGAGCCCCTTCCAGCACAGCTCTAGGAGATGTCTTGTTCTCTGAATTCCATGGGAGCTGGAGCAGCTGGAGGGTGAGAACTGACAGGATCCAAGTGCCAGACTGCTCCAGTTTCCCTGCAATTGTAAAACCAAAGAAGCAGCACTTGGCTGCCACCTGCCCCTTTTTGCTGCTCAGAGACTCCAAACTCCTGGAATGAAACTCCAAAGCTGCTCCCACTCGTTGGGATCTTTGGCAAAAGCAGAGAGAAACCAACATTTCCTGAAAAGCAAATTTAGCCAGACTTCTCCTGGATGAAATTCCACTGGGGAAAACATAGCAAATGTCATAGAGAAACATCGGTTCTCCTGATTGTCCATGTGGCATTGAATTCCCTGGAAAACAAACCTGCACCACCAAGGTACCTGAGCCACCCCCTGAATTCCTAGGGGATCAACTCCCACTAATTCCCTGGTGTGGTGCCACCCTGCCCGACCATCAGGAGATGGAGCTGGGGAAGGAATTTCCAGAGGAAAGCTGGAAACCCACACTTTCCCAGCTTCCCACCACCAGCCTCCCTCAGGCCAAGGACTGTACAAGGGGTGCAGCCTAAGGAGCAGGAGGCAATCCCAAATTATTCCATGTTCACCAGGGCATGGAGCTGGGGCTGCCCAGAGTCCGTCTGCGTGTGGAGCACAGTGAGCTCTCCCAGCAGGGACTCCTGTGCTCCAGAGGCCTTACAGTCCGTGCTGGAATTCCCGCTTCCTGGGACTGCTGCCAGGCTCTGGTAGGGGCTGTTCTCTGGGAAGGACAGCAGCTTTTCCGGGATTTTGGGGGACACCTCGTATTCCTCATCAGGAAGCTCCGTTTTGTGCCCCTCGTCATTCTTTGCGGCTCCTTCCACGATGACGAGGAAGGATTTCCAGGGGGTGTTTTTGTCATGGATCTGCAAAGGAATAACCAGGAGAGAGAAGGCTGGATATGGGATGACAAAGTTTGGATCAAGCTTGTATTTGGTGTTGGTAGAAAAGGTTTCTGGAATCATGGAATGGTTTGGAAGACTGGACCATAAAGATGATCCAGTCCCACCCCCTGCCATGGACAGGGACACCTTCCCCTATCCCAGGTTGCTCCAAGCCCTGTCCAACCTGGCTTTTCAACAATTCCACGAATGCAGCACCCACAGGTTTTCTGGGAAAACTGTGCCAGGGCCTTCCCAACATCCCCCCTAACTGTGGGATCATACCGAGGTGTGCTGGCTCAGTGTGCATTTGTTGGTGAAGGTCCTGCACTCACAGCTTTTCTGGGAAAACTGTGCCAGAGTCTTCCCAAGCTCCCAGGGAACGATTCCTTCCCAACGTCCCACTTAACCCCAACTTCCATCAGCTTGAACTGGAAGTCCATTCCAGGCTTGACCCATCAGTCCCATGGAAGGTGAAGGAGCTGGAATGTGCTCCAGGCACGCCAGGATCGTACCAAGGTGTGCCGGCGCAGGGTGGATTTGTCGGTGAAGGTCCTGCACCCAGAGCTTTTCTGGGAGAACTGTGCCAGAGCCTTCCCAACCTCCCAGGGGATGATTCCTCCCAACATCCCCCCTAACTGTGGGATCATACCAAGGTGTGCCGGCGCAGGGTGGATTTGTCGGTGAAGGTCCTGCACCCACAGCTTTTCTGGGAGAACCGTGCCAGGGCCATCCCAACCTCCCAGGGA